GTAGGTACCTACATATTTATATAACTTACGAAGAATTGGACGTGGTGATTGAACTACAATGGCCATCTATAGATTGACAGACCTGAAAATGCTGGACTTTTTTATGTATCTTAAAATTGTTTCTATGCAGTACCAGTTGTGAAGTTGCAAGTTTAGATAGATTGTAAACAGTTAGAACCCAATCTGGGATTGTATTTCCGTAGGAGGGGGGGGGCCTTTAGGGAAAATTTTTATAGAAACTTGTCATGTTATTTTAACGTCCCCTATATAAATTCGAGATATTGCCCACATATTCTGGGACACCCTATATATAAACCTGTATATATACAGGGTGATTCAGAACTTATGAAAAAAAAATCTGGATGTACAGTGGACCCTTACAAATACAATTTTGTAAAGAAAAAATCAAAAAGGTCAGTTCGAAATTGATTTAAAAATACACTTCTGCACGGCACTGGAAACTGGTCCACTCTAAAACTTGACCTCGCACAATGCGACCGGTATGGCGGCGTGATAAAAACGGACAAAAACTTTCGCAAGGAAGAAAATATGTAAATAGAATTTTATCGCACCTATTTTATATCGGCAAATTCAAATGTTTTTGCCTTTATTAATTATTAATAAAATTAATTTGTGTTTTTAAATAATAAAATCATTTGACATACCCGATGCTGCAACAGCAATTGTTCAAAATTTTATCCACTCACGTGTAAACCACATTTGGGTCCGTCTTACTCACTTTCTACGAACTAACACAAATGATGTCTGTAACAAATACTTCACCATATCAACTCTGAGTTGCTATACACGCAAGCCATTTTTGACACTAACTACTAAAAAACTGACGTAAATACCACAGATAACAGGTAAAAACTACCGCAATGACGGATTTCAGTATTAGGAGTCACATGGCTCTCCACGCGTATTGCGAATGACGCTAGAGGCTACAGTTATCCAGCTATGTAGTGGTTTAATGTGCTATAACTTCAATAATTTTTTTCTCAGAAACTATAAGGATTTTTCAAAATTTTTTTTTACAATATTGACATTTCTCATGCCGCATCTATTCCCAAATTTTTTTGGATAAGTTGTGAATCACCCTGTATACGTACACTTATGACTTATTCTTCTCATCATATACATAAGTAATTCATATTCAATTATTGAGGGCTGTAATATGAAAAAGAGAAAAATAATCCGAAAAAACGTTGCTACAGTGAAATTATTTCTCTTTAAATGTATGGTATCGCTTCTAAGCAAGTATCGTTATACATGTAAATGTAAACTGCTTACATAGTTGTAAGCGATTACTAGAAATATGTAGCTTATTTTACAGGGTCAAAAAACGGAGAAATTGTCCACTATACAATAATTGCAATAATTAGTAAAATTATTATTTTTTAGTGTTATAGTTTTGTCACATCTAAATTTGATTGTCCATACAAGTATAAAGTTCATTGCCGTCTATGATATTACAATCCCGTTGGATGAGTAGATGAGTAGATTTAGACTTCTAATTGGTATCTAACAGTATCGAAAGTAAACTGGGATGATATGATTTTAATAAAAAAGTTATATCAATTTTAATTGTTTAATTGTCAATTTTAATGATTTACCATCACTAAAACAATTTTTTTTCTAGACCCTTCGATTCATTATTTAAAATAAGGAAAAGTTGCTTTCGAATACTCTTTTACCTTTGATTTTTTCAGGCAGATACAAATGTATTTACATTTTGAATTTTATTTAGCTCTTATGGCATTGCCACGACAAAGATAAAAAATTACGTTTGCTATTATCGCACACATGGCACCGAAGTTTTAGACAACTCGTTTGCTTATGACAAAGGTAGATTATTACGTTCGCTATTGTCGCACACATTACAGTGCTGCTTTTGTCATGCGCACGCGTCGCATCTATATTTCAAAATCAGAGAAAAACAATTATTTCGAAAGCAACTTTTCATTATTTTAAAGAATGAATCGAATGGTATTAAAAAATTGTTTTAGTGTTGTTAAATCATTAAAATTGACACTTAAAAAATTAAAATTTTTGTAACTTTTTTATTAAAAATAAAAAATCCATTTATCTGAAAAGGAAGTTTATATTTTTAGAGTTGATTGGAAAAGAAACTGTTGAATTTCATTGATTTTTCTGATTAATTTTTTAAAATTTCTCATCATCCCTTAGCTTCTAGCCTCCCTAACTCGCTAATTTTAATTGTAGAAGATAAAGTCGTTTCTTGTTTATTATACATGGTGTAACTTTGAGTGGGCTTCATATTTGTACAGAGGCTTCCTTTAACCTTTAGAAACACGTGTCAATAGTTTATTTTTGAAATTCGTCGCAAGTTAAATAATTTTGTTGGGTGGGTGTCCGCCACACAAGTAACCTAGCAAAAAACTCAAGCAGTAATCAATAATGATAAATAAAATACATAAAAATAAATAGTCTGTTCATGGCTTCAAGGGGTGAAAAACATTGAAATTCAGTTTGTCTCCAAATGCAGAACAACAAGATGCCCTTCACTTTGTCACCGTTGACCCGCACTGTCTCCCTTCACATGTATTGTAGGTTGCCTACAATTCATGTAGGTATTTGAAATAAGTACAGGAATATTACACTGGTGGAGCACACAAGTATTAAAGTGCATTTCAAAAAACTAATAACTTGATAAAAAAAAGAATTTCAAATTCGTATTCAGGAGAACACGTACCATTATGCCTAAAAAACTGGCCCCCACTTAAAGTCACACCTTGTATACTCAAACTAACTTATATTAAATATTCAGGCAAGTTGACCAAAATTGCGATTTAAAGGCCCATTTAATAGGACTATTATTTGAATTCAACCAATTTTAATATCGGTAGAACATGGAATAGCATCTCAGGTGTATGTGTTTGAAACTTCTATTATTAATTCAGTTTTAAATACACACGTGTAAAAATGCTTCTTAACAATGTTGTGAGAATGATCATCACGTAAGATGCTGTAAAGGAAAATATATGAACTTGTATGCACACAATGCATGCAAATTTCGCACAGCACATAATTATAGACACATCAAGGGGGGTCTCTCACACAAATACTTTTTGTCTTCTTTTTTGTTCTTATTAACATTTCTCGATGGAGAGATCCAACTATTTTATTTTCGTCAGACTGAAATAAATCGCTTACATATTCAAACATTTTAAAATTAAACATGTATAACTTTAGCTTACTGTTATATATTACAAATTTATAGTCATAGAAAAATTTTATCTCTAGAAATGATGATTGTCCTGAGATAAGGAAGATTAAATGATTAATCATAGGTAGCGAGTAAGGGATTATACCTATTAGAGTACATTGACAATACTATAATACAAGTATCTATTAATTATTTATGGGAAACTGATTTATCTATGTAAAAATAGGAAAATAAATTCAAGTTTGAAATATAGTAAAATTTTCTACGATAAAATTTCTTTAAAAAATCAATTGGAAAATTCTATATTATTTATGGAGGTCAACTTTCTCTGGAATTTTATTGTGAGTCCAATATCGTGCGTCTATAAAGGGTTACAATAATATTTGACATGAACCTGAAATAGGTACACAGTGTACGATAAGTGTATAACAAATTTTAATTGGAAAAAATAGAGAAAATGTAAATGAAGGGATAAAATATCTAGCTAGAATTTTTTTGAATAGCCAAATATTAACTTGTTTTTTTTTTACTTCAAATCTAGAGGCCGTTAAGTTTTTTGTCGTTGGTAGAGTTTTTGAGAAAACGCAGGATATATACATATTTGTTCCATGCCCCTAAAGGTCCAGAGCAAAACAGATTTCAATTTTTTTACTGCGTCATCAGTTACGGACTTAGAATAATCTAATACAATTCTTTTGGCAAATTTGTAACAAACATTTATGACAATTCTGTCATTTCTTTTATGTTGCTAAATTGCCAATACAGCTAAAAATAGTGTAAATATACAATACACTGAATTTAATTCACAAAGCAAATATCTCACTCTTGTGGAGAGTCGTAAGATGGGCTGGATTTGTTTATGCCTGTTGTGTAATTGTTTTATATTCTCACAAAGTAAATGTCATCCGACGCCTTAATTAGAAATTAAATACTTTGTGTCTCTTTCTTGCACATAATGACAAAATAAATATTTTATATAAATCTTTTTAACTAATTATAAAACAGAAAATGGGAAACGACCCTACTGAGCGATCTTTTATAAATTCATTCCTAAAATTTACCTATTCAGTTAATACGGCCCTGTGTATCCATACGTAGTGCATATCATTTACTTGCACCTATAGTAAATTAATAATAAGACACACCTTTTGAAATATCTTAAGTGTTTTGTAAACAAGTAGAAAATAGAACTACTTAGCATTCTACATATTTGAGAATGTGATCTATTGTATAAAAATTTGACTGTAGTGGGTTATTAAATAAACATTTTGGCAACATATAAAATAAATACAATTATTTGCAAATATATAAAACAGTTAAATGAATCAGCATTTAGAAATAAAATGTGTATGTTAATGCTTATTATTTATTAATTATACTTGTATGGTGATATATAAAGGTAAGTTAATATAAGCAATATAAATGCTACTTTTGTTTGTTGAATGTAAATTAGTTATATGATTGAATTATCGAAATCAATTAAATAAAAATATGTTCTTTGTTAATCCATACATAATAAATTAATTCTTTGTTAAGTAGGTAATTCTAGCAGGAATATTTAATAATGCAATATTTGGATTTTTGGTTTAATGATTAGCCGAATTACATAAAAAGAAATTTTCGTTCTACTTTCAGTTTAAGAAATATAATATAATTTGCTTATATCCATTCAAGTTCTGTTAAGAATCTTAAATTCCTGTTTTATTTTTCATTCAGTGCACGAGTTTTTTTATATTCCTTATATAAACAGGTATCAGATGCGGTACGTAATATCAGTTAGTACATTGAAACGTTTAAAAATACAACTCACCATTAACCATGTTGATTTTGAACTAATATACTTAATGTAAAAATAAATCAAATCTTGTTCACAGCCTCACTTCACACGAGAAAAGTTGCCACTGAATCAGGTCCAGTTCTTAAGAAATCTTGAACCATAGAGATAAAATGAACTATGGTCGATACTTTAAAATAACTCGCACAAAGTTTAAATGTAATCTCTACGTACACTGGGATCACCACTCACGTTTTGCGCCCAGTGAAATACATACATAAAATCTACACCGTTCTAGGGCCAGTTATAATGCCCGTTGTTCACTAGTGTTTAAAGGTCTAAAGGTGGTTTCCGTATTAATTTATTAATATTTATGCGAGTTATATATCGGTTCACTCAAACACGTGGCTGCTACAATATTACAAATATATTTCGGATTATAGTTTTGAGCCTGCTTTCATCAGGAATCTAATTCTATACGTTTATCTTAAGAAATCGTAATCAAATAATAGATAGAGCTGATGGTCTAATTGGATCAATTTTACATGTTCTTATATTTTATTTACTTTCTGTTTAACTAGATTTAATTTTATTATTATTATTTTTCCATTACATCAGGTTAGTTAAAAACGACATACAAAAGGATGTACCTACGTGCAGGTTCATTTTATTCGATAAATTAAAGTACATAATACAGGTATAATTCTTGTTTATCTTAGAGTATATTTTATGAAATGCAGACATCCGTTAAATATTTTATTAATTTCCTATTCATAAAAGTAAACAAATTCTAATTTTAGTAAATATAATTCTACAAAAATATTCTGAAACGCTGAATACTTTAGGAAAAGTTCTTGTTTGTTAAAGTATGTCCACTGTTTTAATTAATTAAAAATCAAGACGGTATTAGGTAACAGATTAGTATTGGGATTAAGGGAGTTTTGAACATAAAATCAGATTTGATACAGCTTGATAATCTGTTAATAATTTAAAAATAGCACCTGCGATATACAGGCTGTTCTAAAAGCATGTGAATCTCGTCGAAGGAAAAATGATAATTTTTTATTTTTGTTATCACATACCAATATATGCATTATATATATTTAAAGTTTGCCGCTGCTATATAGAAGATGTCAAGTAAAATGTTACTATTTTATTTTAGTTTCTTTTTATATTTTTAGGTATGTTTAAAACATTTCTATAGTAAGAGACGAAAATAGTATCTTTGGCTTAAAAGAGAAAAAAGAGATACAGAAATGGTTAAGCGAGTAAAAATGTGCAGATTTTATGCCGATCACGGATTCGTTTTTAAATTTAGAAAATTCCGAATAGTTCCGAAAATATTCAAAGGAAACCGATTTTATGCTATTTCTTTTTCTAGTTGTATTTCATTTGTTTTTCAAAATTTTAGTAGAAAAATGTGTTGTCTGATAAATGATGTGAGGGATCGATTTTTGCTGTTTTGCTGTGCTGAATTTTTGCCTCATTAAGAAAGGGGAAATTATTATTAAGTATAATTATAATTATATTAAATAATTTATGGGAAATTTTCTTTATAACGATGTATAATTTATGGAGTGTCCATAAGTAAATAACCAAGATAATGAATATATTTATAATTTTAAAAAAGTCAAGTAGCAATGTGAAGCATTCGAATTTTTTCCATCAATTAATTTAATATTTCTTATTTTAATACTGTTTAACACAACGACCTTTAACAGTAACAAGAGCAACGAACAAATCAACATAAATAAAGCAAAACAAAATTAAATTGTAAATTTAAATTTTATCACAAATACATACCACTACTATTTATACAATTCTGCACTTTTTCATAAATGCTCTGAGTAGCAGACTGAATGTCCAAAGGTGTGAAATATCACTCCTGGAATATTTCTCAGCTCTTCGAATACGACAATGTATTCCCTTGTGTCTCTTTAACATGAAAATAAAAGAAAAAGTCCATTATGGAAATCGAGACTTTTCGGTATCCAAGTAATTGGACCACCATGTAATGGTATGCACTACAAACGTTTGTGATAAAATTTGAATGTACCATTTAATTTTGTTTTGTTTTATCTATGTTGTTTTGTTCGTTGCGTTTGTTATTGTTATGTAAATAAAGGTTGCTGTATTAAAAAGTATTAAATATAAGAAATATTAAATTAATTTACCGAAAAAAATCAAATGCTTTACATGGTTACCTGACTTTTATACTAAAATTATAATTATATACAATATATTGATTGATTTATGAAAACCCCATAATGGTCCAACCAAATTACACTCGGAGAAAAAAAAAATTGTTACCGGGAATTTTATAAGTGGAAATGGTAAAAGGGCTTATAATAAACCTAAAAAAAATAAATGCGTGAGCAGGGGCGGCGGAGGGTTGATTTGGGGGGTTGAAAAGTTATGAAAAATTGTATCATTGGGATTTCTGGCGAAAGTTGACGTCAAACAAAAAAGTATGCAATACAAAAGTTGTAGATCATGCAAAAATTTTGTAGAGGTCGTTTTTTACACAACCTCAAAATTTCCGAGAAAATTGCGAATAACAGGTTTTTTCTGATATTTCGTTTTTATTTCTCATTTCCGCAAAAATAATTTAATTTTGACGAAACTTGGTGAAAATATACCTTTCTCTGTCTTAAATAACCTCAAATTTTTTTAGATAAAAAAATCAAGAAGTTTCTGAGATATTCATTTTTTTCGGCGCGAAACACTTTTTTTTCAAAGAAAAATTCTACTTAAAAAAATCATCGTACAGAGTTCCGCCAGTAATCATTTTTTTCGTTTTGACATATACTTTTTGGCGAAATAAAAAAAATTGTAATCACAGTTCAAAAACATGCTCAAAAATGCAAAAAAAAGAAAAGTGACTTGCAACAATGAATTTTTCAGTAATTGTTGATAATTTGTTTAAATTAAAAAACGTTCAAAAACTGATTACACCATTCAATTCCAAGGAAAAAAATAAAAAAAACTCATTGTTTGACCCAAAACTTTATTTTTGTGCAGTATTGCTATAAACATCTAAGTCGAATTACAAATGCACAAATGATAAATAATCTCTGGATGATTTGAGATTTCAGCAATACAAAGTAGGTATTAACTGCAAAGTCTACTGTTGACGCGAAATCCGAAAACCCGAAATTTTACAAAATCGTTTTATTTTCTTTCTGGCTTTATTTGAAAACGAATCTTAAATAAATTGCATATTTACATTGCCACATTTTTCGCTCTATCCAATGGCGTCAACATTTTTGCAATCCGACGTTTCGTCTTCGAGGGGCTATCATCAGATTAATTTTTTAAAAATATATCGCTGTTATTTTTATGACAAAATCTAGTCATTTTTAATTCTGTATTAAATGATATTACTATTGTAATCGCTTAGAAAGGTTTTTAGCTATTATTAAAAATTTTTCCTGAGTACGGCTCTGAACGCGTTCAAAATACCTGTATCTATTGGAGGAGAGAGAGAGAGAGAGAGAGGAGAGGAGAGAATAAAAATCAATACAGTACAAAATGTCCAACAATTTTTTTTAATCCATAATTTAAAAAGTTGTAAGTACCTAATAAAAAAATAATACGAATTTATGAAATATTTTATTATTTCTAATTAGTATTGCTAACAGTAGTAAAAAATTGTTGGATATTTTGTGGGTATTGATTTTTATACTGTTGTGACTTCATCCAATACACAGACCACCTAGACTGGCCGTGTCTAATTCCAATGCACGGGTACTAGTCACAGACCACCTAGACTGGCTTATAGAGCGACTTTGGTGAAAACACTTTGGAGCCTGATTTGGAGCCCAGCGCTCAGTCGTGTCCTAGCATTTGACTTGTACGCATCGCTGTGATTTCGATAATTAGACGTTTTATCATGGGCAAGTGTATTGTAAAACATTGTATAGATACAAGTGATCGAGTTGGTGAAGAGAATAAAGTAAATAATTACTAAAAATATTTTACAGTAATTCATTCATTATTTTATAATAACAATATCACGTTAGTCACTACACTATGTGGGCGAACAAAATTATAAAGCTAACCCTGGAAACTTGTGACGTTAACCGAAAAATGGCGTACATATTTACCTTTTATATATTACTTTTTTTTACTTACCTAAAGAAGGAAACTTTTCGCCTCTCTTCACCAACTCGATCACTTCTATTTATACAATGTTTTACAATACACTTGCCCACGATAAAACGTCTAATTATCGAAGTCACAGCGATGCGTACACGTCAAATGCTAGGACACGACTGAGTGCTGGGCTCCAAATCAGGCCCCAAAGTGTTTTCACCAAAGTCGCTTTATAAGCCAGTCTAGATGGTTTATGATCCAATAGATATTTTGAAAGCGTTCAGAGCCGTACTCTGGAAAAATTTTAAATTATAGCCAAAACAAGCTAAAAACTTTTGAAGCGATTATAATAGTAATATTCTCTAATTCAGAATTAAAAATGACTAGATTTTGTCATAAAAATAGCAGCGACGTATTTAAAAAATTAACCCGATGATGGCCCCTCGAAGACGAAACGTCGGATTGCAAAAATGTTGACGCCATTATATAGAGCGAAAAAAGTGGCATTGTAAATATGTAATTTATTTTAAAATTCGTTTTCAAATAAAGTCAGAAAAAATTAAACAATTTTGCAAAATTTCAGGTTTTCCCGGATATCTCCGGAACTACCCGGAATTTTAAAACTTTCTAAACAGCATATGGTTAGATATAAAAAACACAAAATTTAAAAAATAAGTACACTAATCGATCCTACGGAAAAAAATTATTATTTATTTTATTTATTCACTATTCGACTTCACTATGTTTATAGCAATACTGTACAAAAATAGTTTTGTTAAAACAATGAGACCGTTTTTTTTTATTTTTTTCCATAGAATTGAATGGTGTAATCAGTTTTTGAAAGTTTTTTTAATTTAAACAAATTATCAGCACTGAAAAATTCATTGTTGCAAGTCACTTTTATTTTTTGCATTTTTGAGCATGTTTTTGAACTGTGATTACAAATTTTTTTATTTCACTAAAAAGTATGTCAAAACGAAAAAAATGATTACCGGCAGAACTCTGCACGATGATTTTTTTAAGTAGAATTTTTCTTTGAAAAAAAAGTGTTTCAGGCTGAAAAAAATGAATATCTCAAAAACTTCTTGATTTTTTACCTAAAAAATTTTGAGGTTATTTAAGCCAGAGAAAGGTATACTTTCACCAAGTTTCGTCAAAATTAAATTATTTTTGCGGAAATGAGAAATATAACACGAAAAATCAGAAAAAAAAAGTTTTTCGCATTTTTCTCGGAAATTTTGAGGTT